TTTTTCCCTCCAAAGCCCCAGTAGATAGTTGTATGTCATAGCTGCACATCCTTCTAGTTGCTGTATGTGGGACGCGGCCTCAGCATGGCCGGAGAAGCGGCGCATCTGTGCGCACCCGGGATCCGAACCCGGGCCGCCAGCAGCAGAGTGCGCGTGCTTAACCGCCAAGCCACGGGGCCGGCCCTGAGCTTAGCCTTTTGAATGACCTTTACCTTAGGATAAAGACCTAAACCCTTAATAAGACTTACCTATTTCTCTTGCCTCATCTTGAGCTGCAGTCCCCTCTCCACTCCCTCTCTCCCACCATGTTCCAAGTAGCTCTGCCTTTTAGTTTCTTGAGAACATCATACTCTTTCCCACCATGGGGTCTTTGCATGTGCTGTTTTTTCTTCACTGTATACTCTTTCCTTTCCATAAAGTTTAGTTATTTTGTTTACCACCCTTCGCTTGATCTTCATTTTCTCAGTGAGGATGCTTTTCTTGACTCAGTCAAATCCCCCTATTATATACTGTGATGGTATCTTATATTTCTCTCTCATAGGACATTTCACAACTCAGTTTTTACATTTGTATTCTGGATCATTGGATAATGTGTATCTCCTCTGCTGGCTTGCAAGCTTCAAGAGGTCAGGAGGTAGCTCTGTTTCTGCTTACCATTTGTATTCCTGGTGTCTAGCATGATGCCACACACATGATAAGTAGGTAGTAAACACTAGATAAAACAAGCTAATGAACAGTTGTCTAAAATAAAGATCAAAGTTATATTTAAAGGACAATATCATGAGGATCACTTGACCTGTGGAATTGCTTTTGGATTTTATACTCAGGTTCATTAACTTGGGATTCTCATGTTTTTATGTGAATTACCTCTAAGGTGCAGACTGACTATTTAAAAATAAATCCTATTATTTAGTACAGGGAAGACCATTTGAAGTAAAAGAAATGTTTCTGGAAGATATTTTAAGAACTACTGGATACAAAAACAAAGAAATGTTAAAATACAAAAAGGAAAAACAGCGAGGTAAGCTTTTTATCAAACAAATATAAAAGAAAATTACTATTGATATTGACTTTTTGGACTACTCCACTCTTATACTATGGAGGTACAAGGACACTTGAAAGTGTTTCTCTCTTGTGTATAATTGCATAATATTATATTAAAATACCGTCCTAAATGTGCCTTTTGCATTCTGGTTTATGTCCGGAAGTTATAATCTATAGAGGGGAATTGAAAGTGGATGTGCCAGAATTGAGGAACTTGAGCATGGCTGTATCCCAAGACTCAACCACTATTTTAAGGAGGCAGAAGAGTATGTGCTGTTACACATATAATATGCCACATATGATAAGAGTATGATATGCCACAGCATATCTCATAGGACGGGAGTGGGGAGTGGGTGGGAAGAAGTGAAAAGAGTAGCATGTGAATAATAACAGGCTCATCTTTGATACAAATGTCAAGGTTTTCAAATCTTGATATTGTTATGAATTGCATTTGTACTTTGAATTTAGCATGTTTGCCTGTTAATACATTTCTTATCATGACATACTGTATCTCAACTTTTGAATTAGGGTTAGATTCTGTTTGCTTTTCACTACATTATTCATGATAGATTTGGCATCAAGCTTTGATTTCTTTTAGTCTGTGTGACATTGGATAAATATCTTAACTTCTTTGGTTCTCCACTTGAAAAAAAAACAGTTGGCAATGCCTATTTCACAGTGCAGTGCTGAGTCACTAGTACGTAAATTATAAAACTCCTAGATCTTGAAACTGTTGAAGATGAAAATTGTATATAACTTGTATCTCAAACAACTAGTATGGAGGTAAAAGTTCAGTAAGTAGTGTTTTGCAAAGTGCTATGTGAATATTATTCATTGATTTAAACAATATTTTTTGTATGGCTAAAATACTGTTCTTGAATTATGGCCTTAGAAGTAAACTTCTTAGTAGTAGATAAAGAAATGAGGTTTTTAAGCAGTTTCGTGTGTCTTTATGGTTCAGCATAACACATTTTATTGAATGTTCCTAATTAATATATTTTAAAAAACTAACTTAAAGCCAAGTTTTAAGTATTTTCAGATTCATTTAATTTTTTAAAACAAAGGGATATATTTCAAAAAGGAAAGAATTTATCTACTTATTTTTTCTTTGGTAATTAATTTAGAAGAGAAACAACAAACCACGCTTACAGAATGGTATTCAGCTCAAGAAAATACTTTCAAACCTGAATCTCAGAGGCAGAGAACTGTTCCAAATGTGACTGATGAGTATGATTTATTAGATGATGGTGGTGATGCTGTCTTCAGTCAGTTGGTAAGACCTCACTGGTTTCACGCTGGTAGTTTGAGTGAAAATTGTGTAGCTTGAAAAACATAAGATTATAATTTTTTACTGCATTATTAAAGTGTAACTCTTAGTTTATCTTAGGCTACAACACATTTTTCATAACAACTTTCTAACACTTTTTTTTAAATAGTGCAACATCCTTTATCATTTTATACTGAGTTTAAATTATTTAAATATTTTCTCTAAATTTTTTGAAGATAGTTATAGATATTATGCATATACATTATTATTGCTTGATATTTTATCATTTCAAAAGTTTAAGAACTTATGAACTAAACAATTAAGATAAGCTAAGTTAGGAGAAAACTGAGTAAAGACTGTTGGTATTAGAGCAAATAATCAATACTAGTGTTGTTTCCACCACCAACTGGCTTTGTGACTTTATAAAGTCAATCACCCACAGTAGACCTCAGTTTCTCCTTCCCTTCTCCTTTTCTTTGTTCTGTTTTGCCACAAAAGCTTTTACAAATGAAATACTTCATAGAAGCCCTGCCTGTTCATTCATCACTCTCCACCCACTTCCCCAGGTTGGGGCCTCTGCTACCTTGGGTTCTATGGAGTCTGTTTGAGAACTACAACTAGCTGATTCCCTAGGTCCCTCTGGTCTTTGATACTGGTTTGGAATTCTTAAAAAGGCATTGGTGATTAGTGTGATGCAGAACATAGCTGGGACTATGCACTTTTTAGAAAAAGAATTTAACTCTTTTGAGCACGAGAAGGTACATAACACAGATATGCTTGCAGTTTTCTGCCAGTGTTTAAAGTTCTAATATATCCAAATGAAGTATACATGAGTTTTTAAAAATACTTTTAAAGAATGTTTAAAAATTGTTATTTAGTATAGGGAACATTCTTTTGGTTCAGTGAGCAGCATTTTGACCATTAAATTAGTGGTTCTTAAGCCTGGCTGCACATTAGCATCACCTAGGGAACTTTTAAAGCCCTATGGAATCTGGCTTCCATTACCAGAAATTCTAATGTGGGACCTGGCTTCAATGTTGAAAAACTCCAGGTGATGGTCCTTCTGATGTGCAGTTGGGAGAGAGAACCACTGGTGTATAGGTGCATTTAGCAACATCCTATCAGAAGCACATTTAGTTAATATTTTGACTGGATCATACTCCTTTGTTGACAAGCTCATTCTCAGATAAAAGATGAAAATAAGAACAAGATACAGTATTGTGAGTGGTAATATTTGTGATGAGATGAGAAACTTTTATGTCAAAGCCTATGCTATAAAATATGGTTAGTAATTCTTGTGACCATTATGGCCATCTCACTTTCTTTGTCAACATAGATTAAGCTATTAGCTAATTTAAAATCTTTGCTTTTTTTTAAAGACAGAGAAAGATGTGAATTGCCTTGAACCATGGTTAATAAAGGAAATGGATGCTTGTCTTTCTGATATATGGCTACATAAAGATGTTGATGCCTTTGCTCAGGTCTTTCACCTTATTTTAACTGAAAATGTTAGTGGTAAGTGTAATTTATTTAAAGTTTTTTTTTATTACTGTTGCAGTTATTTATGGCAGAAGTGTAGTTTAATTCAAAATGTACCACATTTTTGTGTTCACAACTAATAATTTGTTTTTTTGGAGTACTTTTTTCACATGTACAAATCAGGATCTTCTTATTAGCCTAGTAGAATAAATAAATATTGTTAAATCAGGGATTCTTAACCTAGTTGTCTCCAAAATAGTTTTATGGAGTCTGTGAATATATGACAATTATGTGCAAAAATATTTTTTTGTATATATATTGTGCACATAAATATACTCCCCCTAACCCCAAGGGAATATCTTAGATTTTCAAAGAGATTTGTGATTTCAAAAAAGGAAGGAAAAAAAGGTTATCGACCTTAAAAATGAAATAACAAGGTCTTTAGCTAGCCAAAATGTGTTTATTCAGGAATAGCAGAGGAATTGCAATTTGGGACAAGCAAACTATGGCAAACTGTAGACAAGTCCAAGGAGACAAAGAGAAGTCAGCTTTTATTAGGTTTTAGGAGGAAACTGGGGAGGGCTGTGGCAGTTTTTCGTTGGCTGCAAGTGGTGGGGAGCTTGCTGTTGCTGGGTCAGAAGGAAATCATCTTTCTTCCTGTTGGGTTCTGTAAGCTGTGGTGAGTGATATGTGTGTGAGAGCCCTCTTTTCATGGCTTCCTGACTCCATTTTGATTTAGGTTTCTTTAGTTTATTTTCATGTTTTCCCCTCTTGATCAAGATCTTTCCTTGAAAGCATTGCTGATCAAGAGTTAGGTTATCAAATTTTAGTGGAATTATGTTTTGTCCCTTGGTGCCAGGAAGGACCTTTCCTGGATGTGATGTTTGACGTTGGAGGCAAAGTACATAGTGATCAGAAACCATTTGGGCCACGTTTGAGTAACAAGGAGAGTAGAAGAGAGGAACACTCAGGCATTTTCACTCTTAAAATCATATCTTGTCCAAGTTATAAGCATTGGCAGTCATCTCAGAGTGTTGAGCTAACATCATTCTGTTTGGTGTGTCATTTCTGTGAGGTTTGACAGACAACAGGTACAAAGTTTAAAAATAATTATGCAAAGCAGAATTAAAAGTAATATGACAAGTCTAGTTTATATGATGGTTCTAGCCCATGACCCTAGACTTGAAGGTAGCCAACTGAACAAATCAAAGGGCCGTGGAGAGTCAGGTGAAATTTGTTGTAACCATTGCACTTGTGCCTTGATCTTGCGTAATTGAGTTTCTACTTCCCCAGAGGTGTCGGATTATCCATATACAATAGGTGGTATTTGCTATCACACAAACACCTCCTTGTTCAGCAATTAGGTAATCAAGGGCTATGCAGTTGTCTAAAACTATTTTAGCCAAGGAGTCAAGTGATTGTTGTTGGACTGCTATTGCTTTGGCTGTGGAATCAGCTAGCTCTCCTAATGTTAGGGAGGGATTTCTGATCATACACTCTTGGCACTTAACTCCACCTCAAGGGAGAAAGGCTCTTCCTATGGAGGCAAACCTGGAGTCATATATGTCCCCGGGTAGTTCCCATTTAAGATGCTTAAGAAGGTTTAGTGGGGAAGACCAATGGGAAGCTTCAGATTTATTATGGATATTAACAGGGATAGTTAAATATCCTGGTAAACACTGGCCCCATTCGCCAGCTGTCCAAATGTTTATAGGCCCGTTGAGAGTTCCATTTATCACAGACAAAGATAAAACCAGGTGGTACACATAAGACTCCTGCTAGGGTTTGGTTATTAATAGTGATTTGTTGATTGGCCCTTTTGAGCCAAGGTCAGTGGTGTTTGGGGAATATTTGGGGAGAAACTATCCTGTTTTGTGGACTTTGTCCCCAGTGGCTGCACAGAAAGGGGTTATTTTGTTACGGCAAGCAGACTTAAGATAATACTAGAGGGTCATTGCTGTCATGGACAGATCAGGGTTTCTGGTGGCAAATTCATCAGTCAGAAAGATTCCCCCCTTTGGCAGTGGATTGGGAAATAAGGATAAGAGCATTATCTTTCCAAGAAAGAGAGGGAGAAAATAAGCGAAAAGTTAACAGTGGGGAAAGATATATAGGCCTGGTCTGTTCATCTTGGGAAAGTTGTTTCCTTCAGCTGTCATCTATGTCAATTCCTGGAAATCTTTACTTTTAGGTAACCAGTTGGCGTGCATGTCCAGTCAGGGTTGGGTCCTTTCTTTAGAAGTGACACTTGGATCCAAGAGTCTGTTCCTTGGAGTTTAGTGGCACAAGGGTTGCTTAACAGTACCTGATAGGGGCCTTTCCAACGGGGTTGAATAGAGTCTTTCTGGAGATGTTTTTTCCAATAAATAAAATCTCTAGGCTGTAAGGTGTGATGCTTAAGGTCTTCATCTCCTGGGAGTGTGCTATGGAAAGATTGTTCTACTAATGTATGCATGCATACTCTCAATGGATGCAATTAGGTCTTTACAATATGGAAGTATATCTCCTTTTATCACCTGTGAATCAAAAGAGGCAGGGGCTAGATGTGTTGGATGTCCAGTAATTATTTCAAAGGAGTTTGATGTCCAGTAATTATTTCAAAGGAGTTTGTAAGTTCCAAAGGGGGTGGCCCTAAGGTTCAGAAGGATCAGTGGCAGTGCTTTTGGCCAGGATATTTGAAGGGTCCCTACAAATTTTGCCAACTGGGTTTTGATGATGCTGTTGGTATTTGACTAGTTCTGAAGACCGGGGATGATAAGCACAGTGAAAATGTTGTAGAACTGGCCAGATGGCACAGACTTGTTGTAGTACTTGACTAGTAAAGTGGGTTCCCCAATCACTATGAAGTCCAAGAGGGGGTCCCCAGGTGGAAATCCTTTCCACTAGGGTCTTAGCCATGGAGGAGGCAGTGGTCTGTCTACATGGAAAAGCTTCAGTCCAATGAGAAAACATGCAAACCATTACCCAGACATATTTATACCCATGAGATAGGGGTAGCTGTATGAAATCCATTTACCAGACCTCAAATAGTCCATTAGGCAGTTTAAAGTGCACGGGAGCAGTGCAAACAGGTTTTCCTGGATTGTATTTTGGGAATAAAACATCAACCTTGGATCCAACATCTTCCTGAGAATTCATTACTTGGAAAAGCAACATTAATAAGCCTACATCTGGTGTTAAAATTCACAATATGCAACATTTTAAACAGTTTGTCAGCCTGCTCCCTCACTTTGTCATCACCAGTCTGGGCATAAGCGTATGCTCTATTCACTGCTGTTAAAAGGGCACTAAGCATTTTTGATTCCCTGTCTTTTTCTTGACTTGTTGAGGTTTATTGGAGACCCTCATTATTTGAATAATTTTAATACTCCAAGGCAGAGGCTGTTTAATAGTGGTGGGGTTGAGCACTGAGAGTGTAGCTCCAGTATCGATAAGGATGGATAGAAATTCATTCCCAATCTAGAGAGTTGTTTCTCCAGGCTGGTTTAGAGGAAAGATTGGGAAAAGGCCCTGTGATTCCTGAGAGTCCCATAATTGGGAAGTGGGAGGACATTGGAAAGATTGGTTGGATGACTGAAGATGCCTGGAGTGTTTGGTTTATAGCAGTCTTTTTTCCAGTATCCTGGCTTCTTATAATTATGATAGAGGCTGGGAGGATTTTGCTTAGGGGCTTCCATCTGTTGAAGTTGGAGATTAAGAATTTTAATGGTCTTTTTCTTAGTAGAATCATCTAGGATGCAGGCTAATTTGTTTGCAAAATTAAGTCTGGAGTGGACATAGTTTCCCATTCTTTTCTGGTTCTCTTAACCAAGAGAGAAAGGTCCCGGTTTAGCCTATTAATAACATGGAGTTGAAGGCTGCCCGAGTGGATTTGACATCCATAGGGAGACCAGAATTCTCCTTAAAGATGATTTGGAGTTGACTATAATAGTCTTGCACAGGTTCACTGGGTTTCTGGATGCAAGCCTGAATCTTATTCCAATCAACGGGTTTTGGGAAAGCTGTAGGGATTGCTAGGTGAAGTCATTTAGTGATTGCCTGAGCCTGATCAAATAAGAAGGCAGGGCGTTGGTCTTCCATTTACAGTTCTAGAGATTTTTCAGGATCATCCTGATTAGCTGTTTTCATCCAGTGTTGGGCTTGGCCTTTGCCAATGAGCATGTGAACTAGCTGGTATAAATCAGAGAAACCTGGTTGGTAAGTCTGGATGACTATATTAAATTCCTCAGCAAATCTATGAGGATCTTCAGTAACTCCAGGAAAATCTTTGATCATGGCTAGTAGTTTGACCTTAGTCCAGGGGACATAGGAAATTAGGGGCTTAGCATTAGGATGCTCAGAGGGTGTGATTTTAAAGGTTAATGGGTTGGGATGAGGAGGAAGTAGGGAGAGGTTTAGAGAAAAAGGGAAGTTTAGTGATAGGGTTGGAATGAGGAAGTGGAGGATACAAAGGAGTGGGGGTAGGGCAGCAGGGGGAAGAGGAAGTTAGTGGGGAACGGGTGAAGGGGGTGAAGAGGCTTCTGATGCCTTTATATCTTCTTTCAACTGTTTATTTGCCTCAGTCAATTTAGAAATAGTATTTTGTTAAGAGGCAATTTTAGAGTCCTGAATACACTTGGAAGCCTCAGCATACCAATTGAAATAGGCATCCCATTCAGTTTGTTTTATTTTAGAGCTGCAGTCTTCAAGTTTAGTTCTGACAAAACAAATTTGGAGAGATCGAAGGTTCCCCATAATGGCCATTGAAGTTCTAAATTATCTTTGGTTAGGTCAGTCCGTTTAGTTAAAAATACACATGAGGAGGGACTTTTGTCTTTCGATATAAAACTGGCCAGGGTCCCAGAAGGAGGGCCATCCTGAGAGTGTTTAGGTGTTCATTAGGTGTCCATAATCTTAGTTTAGGTGTTCAGGAAAAAAACCAAGTCCTTACCCAAAGGACGATGCTTTTAAGAAAACATCTCAAATAAAGTCAGAGAGCTCAACCAAAAAGAGGGAGCTCGAATGTGAGAAGAGACTGAACCGAAAGGAAGAAGATG